GAGGTTATATCCTTCATTTGTACCATTTTGTGAACTTGTCCTTATCCCTCTCACGTCCATCCCAAAAACAGTCTTCCAGATTTATGCGCCACGCCTTGCTTCCTCTTGTGGGTATAAAAATCGGCGTGGACGTGCTTTTGGTGACTAGCTGAGGCCAGACAAAGTCGACGAGAGGTGTGGTCATTGGAGTGAGGATGTACTTGGTCGTACTTGTAGACTTGATGAAGTTTAGGTATGAATCGGACTCGTTGGGAGCGAAAAGACGACATGGTGGAGTAATTTGAAATTTTGCCTCGTGGGCCAATTCTTTGATATTGTGAAATTTGACTAAATTTGGCTCTGGGAGAATATTTCTATCCTAGGTTCGTAGTGGACACCGCGTACAGGTGATTATTCTTTGCACTTAGACCTCCCGGCCAATAGCGCCATTCAATTCATCTTTGTCTATCCTTCCCTATTCAGTCTTGTCGTAATTTTCACCAACAAAATAGAGATTTTGCTTCCTCAGCCCAAACATCGGTCGGACCGCAAAAGAGGCAGATTTTTGCCGATTGTTGAGGAGTTTTTTCAATGAAGTAGAGACTGATAAACGCTGAAATCATGTACACAATGTGCGAAGGTTTCATTCAAGGCTTCAATTGTCGTCTTCACACCCGCGATGGGCAGCCCGTTTGTTAGGCTGTAGCGTGGGTACGCAAGTTTATCATTTTCGGAGGAATCGGGCACACAGCACAACAAATAAAATTTGTAGTGGAAGATGAATTAGCGTTCATTTTTTTGCGAAGGAGTGTGACTTGGATTCAGTACGGGGCTTGCAGTAAGTTTCTTTTTCTGTGCGAACGGTGTCGAAACACCGACGGGTCAAAAATAGACTTCCGCATCAGTTTCGTCTCCCTCGGGTGGGCTCGAACCACCAACCTCTCGATGGAACTTAGTAACAGTCGAACGCGCTAGCCAATTGCGCCACGAGGGATTATATTCGCAAGACTGTTATGATATAAGGACACAAAGTTATGACCGGTGCAGTTACTCAATTCTATCAAATTATTTCAATGTCTTCAAAATTCCAACGAATTGAAAATAAATAGACGTTGAGGCTACAAAGCCATACTTGCTATGTGCGAGGAGCGCAAGACTGCACAACTGTAAGCGGCGTCCTCTACGAACCTGGGATAGAAATAATCTCCCAGAGCCAAATTTAGTCAAATTTCACAATATCAAAGAATTGGCCCACGAGGCAAAATTTCAAATTACTCCACCATGTCGTCTTTTCGCTCCCAACGAGTCCGATTCATACCTAAACTTCATCAAGTCTACAAGTACGACCAAGTACATCCTCACTCCAATGACCACACCTCTCGTCGACTTTGTCTGGCCTCAGCTAGTCACCAAAAGCACGTCCACGCCGATTTTTATACCCACAAGAGGAAGCAAGGCGTGGCGCATAAATCTGGAAGACTGTTTTTGGGATGGACGTGAGAGGGATAAGGACAAGTTGACAAGATGATGCGAAGGACGGATATAACCTCGAAGGGCATGAGATTCCGAATTCTGGCGAGGAGTTTTTCGAATGGGCTTTGTGCGGGCCAAGACTTCGCTTGCGAGAGTGCATCTGATACTATAAAAATGATCAGACGATGGAAGGTGTGGTGGTCCGCCTCCTGGTGATGTTCTCTGGTATAGTTTGAGTAGCCTGGGCACCTACTCCACTTGGGAAGGAGACATCTCAGATTACAATTCGCGCGGAGAAAAGTTGATGGATGACGGAGGCATATATGGATGAATCGGGGTTTTTGAAACGTTTCTCTGGGTGGACATCCATTGACAAGAGTTGACTTAGGGTGAGGAAAAAGCCGCCATAGCTTCGCAGTAGTACTCGCAAATAAAATCCGAGGCGTGACTGCTTTTCACTTATATTAAATCATCTATAATGTACCTTTCTTTGATAACGTCTCACAGCTAGATAGCCACATACGCAGTTAAAATCTGATGCAAAAAAACGGCGGAGGGCTGACTGTTAATTGTAAACAAACATACCTCATTGTGGTTATTCAAAATGAAACCTAGAATATGAATGTCTCTAACGTCAACAGAGTCATCTAAGACTTAATCATAGAACTGATCGTGCGTTATATCTAGAGAGCTGAATACATATCAAATACCAAAAAAAGAGCTCAAGCTACAATGTAACAGATTGACTTGATCTAGACATAGAAACTCACCAGTAAACATCTATACTATCGCTTAGGCTTTCGTAACCATCCAACTTCATATGGCGACTGTGACATTATTGGCATCTCCAAATTAGCGCTTTAGATTTAAAGTCCGAGTTAAGATTGCCGATATTCACGAACCATCAACGTAGTCTGAGTAAGAAGCTGCAAGGGACAACCCGCAGCGTCATCTCACCTTGCATCGTGCCTTTTCAAGCCAACAATTGTTTCGTCTGAGGACCATGACACTATACACACCCGAAGTCCTCGACAAGTTTAGTTGACCAGCCTGTGCAAGAAGGTGCCAATGGAGACTGATGCAATTACGCCTCGTTCAGTCGGGATACCATGGTCGTAATGCTACAAGTATAAAGTGTCCCTCCGACTACATGAATAGTTTTGTTGGGAGCGAGACATCTACGGATCAATGATTATTGCTAAAGATCTAATAATGCCCACGATATTAAAATATACATACTCTGATCACTTGTGTAACTTCATGGGAGAAACTGCACAGCAAATGTAAGGCGTAGATGAACTAGTATTGAATTGATATCCAACAGCCATGATATGAGTTGGGTCTCATGGAAGTCCCCATCCACCAAACCGTGGTCTACTGACCTGTTCTCTACTAAACGCGTCTTATTCTCTCGTATGACTGAGAATTCCTTTGTCAATGACTTGAGTCATGGAAATATGACTGCTCCTTCACTCGACAGATTATCCGTTAGAAATTGTGAAGGATTTCTAGGAGGACATATCTCGAAGAACAAGTGTACAATTTCGGACAATATTTTATTGATAGTTGTATATGATATCGAACTCTCTTCTCAATATGAATTAATAATATATTATACTCCGTTGACTTAGTTTAACATATACAAATAAGTTTATCCTTAAATACAGATCTCCGAGGCTTTTAGTAATCCCAAACTCCAAGTGATCTAGCAATAAGCAGCCACTTAATTATCGCCAGGTAGCATTTCCTAGCCACTGCATTTTAGATACCACTGAACCTCATGTTGCCCATCTGAGCTTAATCATATTCAGTCGAATCAACTCAATCAATCTTGATGATCATACCTAGAAATCTAAACCTTCATACATACTGAGTCTAGATTTCCAACATTATCTCTACGACCCACTGCTTACATGTCTCGGTGAAACTGGGTGACGCGGGTGTCATCCAGCCAGTGTATGGCTCGTAATAAGCGAGTCGTATAATCCGATACTCGAGATTCCCCAATATGTTCACTAGAACGTGATCTTTCTTCCGAACAAACAATCATGATGTTCGGAAGTAATTTACTGGAGACGTGTCCTCCTAGGAAAACAGGTACTTTTCTTCCTGTTGTCTCTTGTTAAGTCGTATCTCTCCCACTGTTTCTGGCTGTGCGATAATTTCCTTGCTACCCCATGTCTCCTTTCGGGCCATCAGCTGGAGACAGTCAAATTGTTTGATCATGAATTACCTCACGAATGATGAAGAAATATTTTGATCAGTGATAGGCTACCTGTTTGGGAATGGCGTTAGGAGAGAGGGGTTATTACTATATAAAAGTTTTTCTTCATATAAGCCTAAAAATTATGAAGATACTGACTCAGAATCTCTATTACTGCCATAATGATCTTGTGAAACAGGTCTCCATATGGATATTCCGACATAAATAATGGCGATAAAGGAGCGTAAATCAAGGGTTGGATAATAAGAGCTTATTTTACTATTTACCTCTACATATCATAGATACTTCAGGTAGATTTCTTTACGAATACAATCTTATGGGAGCGTGTGTGAATGAAGAGAACTTTGAAAGCCTATCTCAACGATATAGACCAAGGTCGACAAGATACGAGAACTATCATGAATTTATCAATGATACTATCAGAAAGGGGGTGCTCAGAGTCAATACTCGCATCATTCCCTAGCGTCCAGTTCTTGGATCGAGCGCCACGTTTATAACTTTCTCGTACAAATTCGCCGTATAGGGAGAACAAGATTACTTTCTGAATTGAATCTATTATACTCTGTAGACACCCTAGCCTTTTCAATATTTCTAGAGGTTTTTGTTTGCTAATTTGAGTTAATTTACTGGCCTGCCACTATTCGAGCGGTTTGTTTTTGGTCTGATAGGACTCAAAATACTACGATTATTTCGATCCTTAATTACTCACAGTTATTTCCCTAAAACCAAGACGGTTTTCATGAGTAGTGCATTTATATTTAGAGACCTTCCTCTCAAAAATAAACTTGGTGAGCGTGATGTTTGGCTGAAGGAAATTCTGACATAAAAAGCTCCGCTGATACTACCTCATTTTTGATAGGCGTGGCCATTCGACTCATTAATGGAGGGAATATTTCTGTAAGGCTACCTGTTTCATTTTCTGATGTATGATGAAGTGTTTTATCATAAATATTTAATTGTAATTCTAGTAGTAGCTAGTATCATATATAATTAGCTGCGAGCTTAAGAGTGCGGTTCTTTCATTCAGTCAACTCGAGTCGTAGAGAGAACAGATTTAACTTCGTTATTATAAAGCAGATTAACATGTATCCAAGGGTACTGTCTCAAGACTATTCTTCGATATTACCTATTTAACGCCAACTTGCTTATCATATATTTTCCATCCCACCATTCGCCATATATTCATAAAATGCGCCTTGGGTCTCTAACCCTCGTCCCAAAAAAATGATGGATATCTTTCTCCGTGCTAAGCATCACCACGTGACTTTATTTACCTCAAAACTAGGGATTATCAAAGCTCCACTGAGAGGGCTTCTCCCAAAAGTTATGAATAGGAACCTGCTTTTCGGGAGTCGGCGCATGTACTGTGCTGATTTTGTCGCAAATTTCTCTGCTGATTCAATATAGGAGCCCGCTCACCATACAGCTTTGGAGCTGCTAAGTTCCCTCTCTTCATTTTATTTTTTATGTTTTCAATTAGAATCTCTTCTATCGTAAATTCTTTCCGAACCATGATACCTGATCCCAATATTGCTGGTGGCGGTACTTCGATTTCGGCAGGACCTTTCCGGACTATTTGCATCATCCTATCGAACCTTGGATCAATATCCTCATTTTTCTCGTGGGTTTGAGGCTCTGTTGGACTGTGATAGTTTTCCTGTGATAATTTTACTTCCCGTTCACATAATTTGGTGACGGAAATGTAGGGTTCGTCCATAGTTACTATTTTAGCACCCAGTCGCAAATCGACTTCGGTTTTTGGTATTCCACACTCAATATCCAATTCAAAATTCAAGTCTTGTATGTGACTCTGCATAGGTACAGGGTGTTCGGGGGATTGGCGGGAGCTACTCGATTGGTAACGAGATTGCATGGATCCCTTGCAATCCTCTATGCTCTGGGATGAGATCTTAGAAACAAATGGTTTGTGTGTCTCTTCGATGCTTAGATGACGTGGATAAATATATTCGCGATGAAGGTGTGCAATCAGCCTTGCGCATGCAGGCATATTGCAGCATACTAACCCCGCACTTATCTCCATACTAGTCCAGATGGTGATATCGACATTATCCCACGAAGGATCGCTAGATATGCCAAAGTAATAAATAAATTGTGTGCGAACCGCTGATATTATGGTAACCCTAAATTTTCTATTGTTTAGCCAATTGTTTTTTTTTCTACTTTAGTGAGTAGAATACATACGATATTCCTAGACTAAACATAGCTATCACTCCAATTTTCTTTTTCGTGCTTATCCTGAGCTTTAAAACTAGAGGAATCGGTAACGCGAGGATGCACATATCTTGTGACATTGCAGCTACGGCACCTGCATACGCGTATATCTGTATATTATAGCAACGGGGGTGTTCAATATTAATGTTCCAGTTGGAGGTAATAGGCTTGCACTGGAAGATTAAAAGCAAGACCCAGGCTACTGCAAGTGTTGACATTAGAATGACCAAGGCGTAGCAGCAAATTCGAAACTGTTTTTGCGGAAAGATGCGTAGGAAAAAAGAACAAAGTGAAACCTTTATCACAATAACTTCAACAGCGTACAAGTTTTCGGCGATAAAAACTAGACTAGGTTAGTATTTCCCGGTGGATAAGGTGAATGATTTACATATTTTGAGGACTCTACCAACAACTTGCGGCTCTAGCTGATAAACATGCATCCCGAACCCAAGATCAATGACTATTCAGGTCAGCTGAGTTTCGCGAGATAGGCTGAAAGATATTCACAACTCACTTTGAAATATCAATATCTGCAGCACGCAATAAAGCAGTATGGCCAAAATGATCAGATAGTCCTCCTGAAATAAGCCACCCCGAACTTTTAAGCAGGAGATATAGCGGAGAGTCGATGTGGATAACACACAAATACCGAGTCCCATGAGCCATAATCGGATGGAGTGCTGTCGAGACTCTTTTGGTAGCCCACAAATATCTGCCCGCGCTTTTGATAAAACTAGCAGAATGGATAAGCCTTGGGCAATGATTAACTTGGGATTTCCTCACAGAGGCCATGAGATACGCTGCAATTACGCAGAACACAGGACGTGGTTTTCTGAAATATCTCTTCATTGCTACAGCTACAGGTAAAATCTGTGAGGTTACAGGGTGATGCAGTAATCGCACTACTAAAGCATTGGAGCTGACTTTTAGTTAGACGGGCTATTTCTTTGAAGGCCTTGAAACTCACTGGACAGGCTGGAACATCCTCTAGTGTTAAATCAATAGCCTTCACTACTGTGAATAGCAAGAGAATAAGTACAGGGAGTACACGAAAAAAATTCATGACAAAGAATAGAAATTGTTGCTTTTACATCTCCAGCTCGGCGCATGTTTATTTTATGATATAGACCAGTTGTAAACATGGTGATAACTTATTTGAATCTTGCGTCTGATCTTCCGACACAATAGTTTAGCATGTATGGTAACAGCTAAACGCTCGAATATGACGGCTTCGACCTATCACCGATAGTAATTCCATAATTTCTATGCAGGGCTCTAGGGTAGGTTCTACCTGCGGTATAATCAAGAGCGGAGGGATGAGCAGAGAGAGAACTCTACCTCCTGTGCAGTAGGTTGCATAGTCAGATGTGCCTAACAATTAAAGCTAAGATCTACATAGTCCAGTGGGATATAGGATCAAAATCCCTGGCGTGAGATAAGATGGTAAGAGGTGATGTGATAAGCCCTATCACACACCTTGCTTATGCCTGAAGGCGATAACATGCATTTCTGAAACGGCTTGATATTTAGCACCTGGGGACAGTTGTGACCGTTGAGGGGCTCGGTAAATGTGCCATGGCCACCTATCAACATTGACTGGGTCACATGAGCTACTTTGAGGCAAAATTTTGCTGAACTTCAGACTGGCGCCAAGTAGTCTTGTGGTATCCTGCAGGCACTTCGTAGTTTGTAAATCAAATCACGTCACGAGCACTCAAGTCGCAGAGTAAAAGTCCACTATCAACAAGATGTCAGCGGTCATGGCAAACCCGCACCAAAATCAATAAGAGTTTTTCCTTCATTCCCAATTTTTGAGGCCAACAGATGTCCGACCAACTGTTCTCAAGCGATTTAAAATTTGAATGTTTTTGCCACATCAAGATAACTGAATACAATGTGAATTGAAAATGTCGAGTACCAAGGGAGATTAAAATCGAGAGGATATTACGAGAATGTCATATATTTGTTTGCAATACACAGTAGCGTAAGAAGGCCGAAAATTAATAACTATATCCAGGGTCTAGTATTGACCTTGGCAAAAATTGAGCACAACAACATACAAATTTACTATTAACTTTAAAGCTATTTAGATAGTTTTAGCTGTCCTTCATAGTCATAGACTCAGTAGGGACATAAATAAAATTCTATTCTATTCTATTCTAGTATTGACGTATTACACTCTTGATATATGCAAACTAGTTAAAACGGCAATACCCTATTCTGAGCTCGCCAGCTCTCAATTTCAGCACGGGACTTAGTGCGGCCCACATACAGGGATAATCACTGTCAGTGAACGTGATGCGCAGTTCTCGGAACGACCCATTCGGGACCCCTTAAATCCACCAGTAAGCCATAAGTCGGTTTAAATGACCTGCACAACAAAATTTTGATTGAAACGCTAAGTACAAACAAGCTTTGAGAACAAAGTATCATCATTCAGCTAGATGAGTCGAGACTATCGTGATTGTTGAAAAGTCAAAATACTCTGCCTGCATGCTCGCATCATGGGTTGAAACACCGTTGGATCATGAGGCCCTGCACACTGTTTGTGCGCTAGTGGGCTAGCCGCAAACTACTTCTTAGCGTCGATCTAAACTTCTTTGTAAAGTAGATATGGATGGGGCACCTATTCGATGGGGTTGAAGGATACAAAAATTTACCATAAACGTAAACAATAACTTTAAAAGACGTTACTTCGAAAGAAACCTTGGAGCCCGTCAAGCGGTTATTTTTGCGCGGTAATTTTAGTTTGGCCAACTAGGATGATATCATCTTATGTGACTCGTCTTACACCGTTCCTGCACAAATATGAAGAGCAGCGGCCAACTTCATCCCTTCCAACTTGATAACATTTCTTGAGTACATATCCAGAATTTTAGTAAGCCCTGCAAAATGCTACCTATTCGCGCAATCATGCACCATCATTCACCAATCACAAATGTCCAACGCATACAACGAATATACTCTGGTCCATCCAAGTTCACACAAATGAACACTTCAAAAGCAATTTACGAGTCCCCATTTTTTCCCAACGAACCCACTAGGCCAGGTATAAAGACAGCTATTCCAGGCCCTGAGGGTAAAAAGGCTGTAGAGAAAATGAATAGGTTTATGGATTGCCGAAGCGTCAATCTGATTATTGACTACCAAAAAAGCTTAGGTAATTATATCGCAGATGTAGATGGGAACTATTTGCTGGATGTGTATATCTACCTAGATTTATCAAAAATTGACGTGGCTAATTGAGCAGATATGCTCAGATTGCCTCTATTCCAGTTGGATATAATAACCGAGCTCTTTATAAAGCTGCCTTCACCAAAGAAATGGCCACTGCAATTATCAATCGTCCGGCGCTCGGAGTGTACCCTTCAGAAGATTGGGCAGAAACCGTCGCGTCCAGCATTCTCAAAGTTGCGCCTTCTGGGCTGAACCAAGTTTTCACTGCACTAGCTGGATCTGATGCCAATGAATGTGCCTACAAGGCTGCTTTTATGTTTCGCCGTCAACAGGAGCGAGGAGGAGCCCATGTTGAGTTTTCCGAAGAAGAAATTAGATCGAGCATGCTGAACCAGGCTCCAGGTGCTCCTCATCTCTCCATAATGTCATTTAAGACAGGGTTCCATGGCCGGCTTTTTGGCACCCTCTCTACTACCCGCTCAAAACCCATTCATAAGCTCGATATTCCAGCTTTCGATTGGCCACAAGCTAATTTTCCCCAGCTGAAGTATCCACTGGAAGATAATATTTTCGAGAATAAGAGAATTGAAGCTGAGGCGTTATCAGATGTTGAGAGAATCATCACTACTTATCATTTACCACCCTGCGCTGTAATTGTTGAGCCCATTCAATCCGAGGGCGGCGACAATCATGCATCACCAGACTTTTTTCGTGGCTTAAGAGCCTTGACTAAGAAGTATAATGTGCTCATGATTGTAGACGAGGTACAGACTGGCATTGGGGCGACGGGAAAATTCTGGGCACATGAACACTGGAATTTGGACACGCCCCCCGACATAGTCACCTTTTCAAAGAAAGCTCAAACAGCTGGCTATTATTATGGAAACGTAGAGCTACGCCCCAATCAAGCATACCGTCAGTTCAATACATGGATGGGTGATCCTGCAAGAACGCTTCTTTTCCGCGCTATTATAGATGAGATTGAGAGACTGGATCTCGTTAGAAAAACAGCGAAAGTTGGAGATTACTTGTATAGCGGATTCCAGGTATTAGCATCAAAATATCCAAACGAGGTGGTAAATTTAAGAGGCAAAGGCCAGGGTACGTTCATTGCGTTTGATAGTCCTAGGAGAGATATAATCTTAAAAAAGGCTATGGAGGTTGGAATCAATATGGGGGGGTCAGGTCAAAACGCGATTAGGTTGCGGCCGATGCTCATCTTTCAGAGGCATCATGCTGATATCCTACTAGAGGCTATTGAGAAAATTATCAAGCCTTAGATAACTTTTTGGAAGGAATTATCCAACTATTTACTGGTTTAAGGAGGCCAAAATTAGCAGGAACTCTTATTTAAATGTGTTCAAAGCTTGTATAGATTGAGGTTAGCAGTGATTAGCGTGACAATATAAGAACGCTTTTATTGGTAAGCAATTAGGGACAGCGGTATGGTATTGGATCGCTGTAGGACTCATTATCCCCGCGACATTTGAGATGGAATATCTCAGCAAAGTGTGGCAGATGTAATGTAATCTGGTAAATTACATATAAAAGCATCTGAATATATCCTTTGTTCTAGACAGCAGATATATTCTGATGGTCCATGCCATGCCAGTATCAGGTGCTTCACATAACTAGGCTTGCTCTATACTAGAGTTGGCCATCTCAACAGCAACACCTTCGTTCTCACTTTGATGATGATCCCAAAATGGTTGTGTGATCTACATCGTCTTTAACTCTCAGCACAACTCACCAGCTCCAGTATCGTGAAGCTAACCACGATTAGATAAGATATTAGGGTTGAAGCCCTTCACATTACCCATCCTTGATAATGGAAGACAAGTAATTCCACCAGTTTCTAGAGTGCAACCAGCATCCGATACGGCGATAGTAGACTTGACCAAGTCGACCTCTAATGTTACAAAGAAGGGAAATACAAATGGATGTGCGCAGCTTGTGCGGCTCAGTGTCTAGGCCTCGCCTGGCTGGGTCTGCAGGTTTTTTGAGACTTTTTCCGCGCACGCAGTTTCCATTACTTCCTATTTTTTTGGAGAGAAGGTTCCGAGGAAAAGGAGATAAAATACAAGGTTAATGACTTAGAAAATTAACCCTCGCCATGGCACTATATGAGATATACCATTTCATAACGAATGTTACAGGCTTAGGGCCGAGTAGGATTAGAATCGGATAAGTCCGATTCCATTTGTAAAGATTGTTCACGTGAAATCATTGGATAGTTAAGCTAGGAGTAACTTACGTTAGACTTAGCAGATACTCAATTATGTAGTTCACGTATTTCTTTCGTTATACAGAATATAAACCTTTATTTTTGGATTCACCGGTGCGAATAAGCTATGGTGATTAGTCCCCTCACAACGAAAGAGGATAAGGATGCAGTACAAGTTTTGGCTTGATTGAGAGTTGAGCTCAATGTGATATATAATCGTTGACTCGACTAGCAGAATAATAATCAACCCAAATTGTCTTTGGTCAGTTGGTGGGAGAGGGGGGACATTGAGGACCAAAAGCCCCTATAAGTTTATTATTAAAATATGCGGGAAGTGATACTGTTCAAAGAGAGGTATACATGAGCCATAGAAGAGGATATACTACCCAAGCATATGTAGCCTTGAACTTTTGGCAGAAATAAACTACATGTCTCTAGAGTTATAGACCGAGAAAAGAAAGTGACAATAATATAACATACGGCTGTACGATTTGGATCATATCCCTGGTAAGTTTGACCCTAATTTTTGTTTCTTGACGTGCGAATCACAAGCCAGGCATCTAATAGGCATAACAAAATGCCAAAGAAATTAAACATATCAATATTAGCTCAAACACTCGTACAATCTATCGCATCCGCTGATATCGCTATCTAGGTAAGATGAGGCTTGCATCCCAACCTCAACCGTGTATATGCGGCTATTGGAGAGCGGCAAAAACCTTTGTCTATCATTGTAAGCTAAATTAGATGCGTTCAATCTATGATGGGGCAGATGTGATGGCAGGATTTGAACCAGCGGCCATTTTATCTGTAGTGGGCAAGGTGTTCAGGCTAATCAGACTCCACTAAGAGAGACCAGCCCAAACCTATTTGCAACAACTAGCTTGGTGGCGGCCTGGGGTTTACGGTAGGTCAAATTACTGCCTGCTAATTTGCCTCCTCTTATGCAGCTGGTGATAATGAAAGAGAAGAGTCGTCTAAACTGTCAATCCATGACAAAGAAAATGGAGGTTCGGAACATGACACTACAAAGCTGTGTCTTAATGTTTGTTCGTACACAGCCTAGCATGAAGGGTAGGGAGCTTTCTGGTCATTTATTTTCGGGATTGTCTTTGATCAAGCATCATCTTGATCGGGGACTGGGGACTACTACTCAGAAGAGGGTTCGGGATGATGAGATTATTATTCGTCTGTGCGTAGGGGGCCTGCCCCAGAGCTTGTGCCCCACTTTTCCGCAGGAAACAAAAGATGCTGTGCTTTTGGGAGTTTGTGTGATGCAAGCAGCTATAACTCAGGGGTTTGGAGACGTTAGCCTGGGTGGATATTTACGGAAGAGAGCTGACTTGGGGTGAAAAAGCCGCCATAACTTCGCAGTGGTACCTGCAAATGAAATCCAAGGAATGAGTGCTCTTAATGTGTATTGAGGAATCTGCTATTTGCCTTTTCTCTGATATTTTGTCCCAGCTTTCATCGCTGCAAACGCAATTAAAATCTGTTGCTAAAAAAATAAAAAAATGCAGGCAGCTAGATGTGAGGGCTCCACATCCCTAGACCCCCGACGCACGTCACGAGGCGCGCGCTTGTCAGCGATGGCGCAGGGACGTGTGCATGCATATTATGGGTCAGATACCTGCCGAGGAGCTAGGATCGGAGTTCGGACCATATGCGTTCTATAACCCCTGCGAACCTGGGGCAGAGATATCCACCCAGAGCTAAGACTTAGTTATCCTAAAATGGAGTTGAATCAGTTGTCGACCAAGTTTTGGCCAAACCACCAAAATTCAAACATTTCTTGAGTGGAAGAAGCAGGTAAACCAATCTAATTCTCAACTAAGACAACTGCAGATTTTACTGATATCGCGAACATGCTCAGACGCTGATACAGACTTTTCCTCGAATCGCATGTTCATCATGGTCACATCCGAGCATATCTACCAGAAAATATGTATCATCTTCATCTCGAGATCGTGAAGCTATAGTTTGCCGGGCCTGACTTAGGGCTCCTCCTGTGATGAGTACCGACGCTTCAAGACGTCCAAATGCTCCTGTGCAGACCACAACCCACACAAAAACCAACTCCTAACCAAGTTGGAGAGCTAAAGTAAGAAATGTGTCGCCGGATCAATTATTGCTGATCTACAGCAGAGCAAGTCCAGAATAAATCAGTTAATAAAGGGAATCTAGGGAAAGAAGATTTCCTACTCCTCGCTGTATACATAGGGAATTGTAATTTTCAGCGCCTGTAACGGCTTGTGAGTCGATTGTTGTGTGGCACGTGATTGTAATCACATGCTTCTATATTTCTACAGTTAGTGTGTGTGTTTGTTTATTGTACTACTTGAGTCTATGATAATCTAGCACATTGGGCTCCTCTCTGACCCAGGACACACCTTGTACAGTGCTCCTATCCTCTCATGTTACTTGAAAGATCATTGATATATTTCCCTTGATGAATAGCCATTCAGCTCAGTGTTTACCCGTGGAATTCAGCCACCTTTTCCACGGAACCTTCTACCCAAAAAAAAAAATGGTAGCAATGGAAACTGCGTGCGCGGGGAAAAGTCTCAAAAATCTTGCAGGCCCAGCCAGGTGTTGCCTAGACACCGGGACCACACGAGGTGCACATATTCATCTATATCTCCCTTCTTTGTAACAGTCGAGTTCGACTTGATCCAATCCACCATCTCCGTATCGGGTGCTGGGTGCTGGGTACGCTCCGGAAATTCATCGGATGGCATCTCCATGATACTGGTGATAGGGGAATGTGTTGAGAGATGAAGACGATACAGACGGCGAAAGCGGCTGGGAATCCTCGTCGAAGTGAGGACTTTGTTACTCAATCTCGGCTCTGCAGACTCTACAGTGAGAGCTGGAGGTTCGTAGGGGACACCACTGACAGGTGTTGAGAATCGTCCCCCTATTTCTACAGTAGTCAATCTTTATTCCAGATCACTTCAGCTGTAACTGGAATATTCTAGTAATTGGTAGCAAGACTGGGAAACTGTTATGGTTATGAGGTTATGTACGACGTCTTGGAGTCTGGAGCTTAATAGTCTGCGGAGCTGAGGGTAGAGCAAGTTGTGGAGATTAAATTAATTAGAATCTATATATGTATATATATAAAGGGATCAAGCAGCACAGTCTATCCCCACAAGAGAAGTGTTCCTAATACCTTGCGCACGAGCCTCGGCTAATCCCTCACCGTGCCTTGCTAGCCACACTTGGTTTAGTTCACGTAATGTCTCATTGCTTACACACGCCCATCCATATTGTATATCACAACAGAAACACTATGAGTGGAATTTGCGAGAAGCAGATATCAGCCAACAACGAGTATTCTTGATATTTTCATAAATGTATAAATAGTAGAAGTACTGCTTTGATAGTCAGCCATAGAGAAAATTTTAAACTACCTTTGTATATCTGATCGCTCCAGTATCGTCACTCGCACTGTGACATCTACAAACAACTAGTGACACCCTTCGCATTAAGTGGAGCGCCTGCAACATTTCAACGGTAAATTAATGTTGTGGACTTGGGTGACTAATCTGAGCTGATACTAATCGGGTGACTCTCTAGTTGCTTTATTTGAATATAGTCTGGTAACAGCACAGACCATAGCACGACGTTAAATAATAATAATAATAATAAAGCCGCAAATATTATTACAGATGAGACAACTGGCAGAAAAAGGATTACATATAGAAACACACCCTCAAACATCCACCGAAACCTAAGTAGGGCCCAAAGCAGTATTGCAGTTCAGATAAGAAGTGAGCACATTGGTCTTAATTCTTATCTGTATCGAAGGAAAGTTCCCGGACTGATTGATCCAAAATGTCAGTGTGGATATCCGTCTCAAAATGTCAAACATATGGTCTTGGCGTGTCCTCAGTGGGCAATGGGAGGAGGAGAGGTGCTTCAAAAGGCAAAAGACAGGTCATTTGCGGCAATGATGAACAGCCCAGATGACATAGAGAGAATAACAAAATGGATCCTGGCAAAAGGCTGGTTTGAACAATTCCGGCTTGCAGGAGAAGTAGAAATAGCATTGGA